TGCTGTGAGCCCCACCTGAGCCCCTGGGCTGGGTTTCTGCCTCCAGCAGTGAAACAAGCACCCAGTGGCTCTCTCAAGGGGCACCTGCCTGTGGCAGAGACACGAGCCCTGTGGCAGCACAGGCGCTCCTGGGTGCATCAGTGGGAAAAGGGATGGGGAGATTGCCCAAGGACTAGCTTGGCATCTTGAAGGGGCTCTCGCCTCCCTGCCACCTCATTTCTCTCTGAAGCAAGAGAAGTCAGCTCCTGCAGCTCCTCCTGCGCAGGCAGCAGCTTCTGCTGTGCCTCCAGAACAACCCCTCCTGCAGGGATTTGCCTGGAGGAACTGGTGGGACTCCAGAGGTGCCTGATCCCAAAGGAGAAGGTGACTCTCAGGGGATGTGTCTCCCTTGGCTTCCCAAGCCCTTGCCTTGTGCAGGAGAGTGGCAGCACCCGGGGGCAGCTGTGGGCAGGGGATGCCCGGGGTACCCGGGGGTGTGGGGTGCCCACAGGGAGGAGGAGGAGGAGGAACTCACGTGGAGTTCCAGCTCCATGAGTGGGTGGCTGTGATGACGTGGCAGGAGCAGAAATCCTACAAAGTCAGCCAGGGAGGAGATCAGTATTGGATCAGTGGGAATGAGTAATCAGCAGAAACCACCAGAAATTTCTGAGCCCTTCTAACTTTTCCCATGTCTTGTTACCTCCTTGCTGCAGGCAGAAGCTCCTCAGTGGGGTGCCCTGGGCAAGGAGTGTTGTCACTGGCACTGCCCCATGGGGGTGTGGGTGGCCCTGTGTGGGGCTGGACTGGCCTGGGGACATGTGTCCTTCCTGCCAGAGCTGCAGGATGCTGCAGACACCTCCCTCTCTGCCTGCATTCAGCTCTGGTGCCCATGGACTGTGCAACTCTGCGTTCTCTGCTGGTCCTGAGAGAGCAGGATCCTCTGTCAGAAACAGGAATATCCCAGAAACAGGGCAGAAACAGGAATATCTCAGAGCTCAGTGCCCTCACACCAGCCTCTGAGCTGTTGTGAGCACCAGCTGGCTCAGCTGGCTACAGGGATTTGTGATAAACGGGTGAAAGGCCCACAGCCACCAGCCCTGGGAGAGAAATGGAGATCTGGGGGTAGGAAAAGCAAGGCAGAGCAGCAGAGGGGAGAGGGAAGGACCACAGAGGCTGGTGGACGTGAAGCTTTTACCACAAAAACATGGATTCAGCAGAGGCCAAGAGGGGCTGAAGCCACCTCCATGAAGGAGGCCTCTGCAAGGCCCATAAATAACCCTCTTGGAAATAAAGAGCTGACTCTTCGTTTATTCTGCCTAGATCAAATCCTATCTGCTTATTTTTAGGCTGTGCTCTGCCTCGTGGTGCAGGCATGTGGCTGGAGCCTGCAGCTCCATCCAGAGCCCTGGAGCTGACACCATTTCCACCTGCCTGGGAGCCCTGGCCGAGTACCTGGATGGGATTATCCCCAGCAGGCAGGCACAGCCCTCCTTTCCTCCTAAGCACATTAGCTGGAAAAGGAAGCAGGAAGAGGAAGCAATGACATCCCTGTGGTTTTTCAGGAGCTGCTCATGCTGGTGGCAAGCTCAGCAGAATGAAAACCTTTAATTTCACAGGCTTTTTCTTCCTTTCCAGTGCTGGAGCTGGAGCACAGCACACACAGGCAGTGGGACTGCAGGCAAAGTCCAGTTCTGATCCCTGCCTCCCTATGTGGGAGGAAGTTTTGTTATTAGAACGCACCTGGGAGCACATTCTTGAGTTGCTGTTTTTCTCCCTGTGTTTTCCTTTCCATCCTGTGGTAACCAGGTCCTTTCTAGACAGGAAAGAACAGTAAGAATGGAAGAGATTAAATTGAGGAAATGTAACTTTCCTGTACAAACCTGCTGCTTGGAGAAGAACCCCCCCACCTGCTGATATTAGGCAGAGCCTGAACTGTCGTGCTTTGCATGGCTGGAAGCTGTGTTTATTTTCTGAGCAAGCCCTGTTTAATGCCAAGCTTGTCTGGAGTGTTCCCAGAGAGCCCCCTGATGGCTTTAGCTTTCATCCCAATATCCTGAGCGTTAATGTTTGGAGTAGCTGGGAAAAGGCAAAACAGCAAAAGGCTTTGCAGGAGCCAGCAAGTTCAGGGTGAGATGTAGGGTGGAAATAACCCCTTTTCAGGGTGAGGTGGTGCCTTCTGCCTGGATGTTCCTGCCTCCCATCCAGCCTCCTCTTCCCGAGGCTTTCACCACGTCCTGTTTTGAGCCAGAGCACAGAACCATCATCAATCAGGTGCTTCTCCAGCCCCTGGGCTGAGGCAGAGGCTGTGCTCATCACACAAGGAGGGTCGCAGGGGATCGAGTCCCACCAGCCTCACAGGGTTGGGTTTTTCTCAAACACTGCCCGAGAAGGGCTGGCAGAGCACTCCTGCTGTGGCAGTGGGTATGGGGAGCGCTGGGCAGCGCTGTGGAGGTGGCTGCCCCTGCTCTGTGAGAAGCAGTTTTGCAATGGGGTTGCTCAAAGCTGGCTCTGCTGCAGGAGAAGCCGGTCCTGCCTCCCTGCAGGCTCCCACAGGACACCCCACTCCCTGCCACAGCTCTCCGGGTTTGTGCTGGCAGGGTGGGAGCACACCCAGCTGGGTGCCAGGGGACAGCCCACCCTGCTGGGACACTTTCAGCTTGGCTTCACCCTGCGACACGAACACTTCTGCTCGACCAGCCGGCGCCTGTTTGTTTTCCTGGTGTAAGGAGAGCCGGGCCAGGGCAGCCAGCCCAGTGTCACACCCAGTGTCACACCTCCTGGGGAGCCCTGGAGCGGTGACAGCGCTGTCACACCGCTCCCGGTGCTCCCTGAGCCGCCCAGGTGAGGCGAGTGGAGCCACAGCCCCAGCCCAGGGCTGGACGGGAGGTGTGTGGTGCCAGCAGCAGGGCAGGAAGGAAACGGCTTGTGCTGAGGGAAGGAGCTGGCAGGAAGGACAAGCCCATCCTGCAAGGAACTCTCTGGAGCCAGGCTATCTTGCCTCTGAAAAACCAGCCTGGAATGGGAAATATGCCTGAGGGAACACCCGTGCTGTGAGCTGGCCGGGGAGGAGCTGGGGCTGGGGATGTTGGTCCTGCTTGGTGGGATGAAGATGCTGGGGGAGGAGGGAGCTCTGCCCTGATGGGATTCCTGTCCTGGGTCATCCACAACGTGCTGATGGGAGCAAAGCAGCTGTGATGTGTCCCGATGGCTTTGCTGGACATGGCAGTAAGGGCTCCTGCCCAAGGATGGAGCTGAGAACTCCTGGCATCGGGGCAATGCCAGCCCAAAGGGCCTCCTGCTGCTTCAGAAAGCGCCTGGGCAAGGACTGAAGCCCTGCTGCCACCTGCAAGGGAGGAAGGACATCTGTGTGCCCGAGGCCACGGCCAGGTAACGCCCTCGCTGCCCAGCCTGTGCGGGTCCCTCCTGCAGCCATGTCACCCCCTAAGCCCACATGGCACAGACCAGCCTGGGAATGATCTTCCTGGGGTGCTTTACCCCAGCCGCCCTCCTACCCAGCCAGTTCTGGGAGTTTTATCTCTCCGTGGGCAGGAGGTGGGACAGGCAGGACAAGCAGTGGGACAGGATGGCCTTTGTGGCACAGCACTGGCTGGGAGCCAGAGGAGCAGGTGCATGTGGGTCCCTGTGCTGCCCTGTCCTGCCCGTATCACAAAGGGACCCAGAGCGAAGGGCTGGGAGTGCCAGAGAGCTTGTCCTGGCCCATGGGGAGGTTTGGATCCGGTCACAGACGCTGCCTTGTCCTGCATGAGTCACTAAAAAACTCAGAGTCCTTTTCAGTGACACTTTCTGCACGCTGTGGGTCAGCCTGGAAAAAAACCCAGTGCTGCCATTCCCTCCCTGTGGTCAGGACAAGGGCTCAGCCTCTCTCTTCTCAATAGCTTATTTATAAGGATGCAGACACCTCACCGAGCAAAAAAACAACTTCATGCCAAGCAGGCACTGCTTCCCCATGCCCTAACCTTGGCCACCGCTTCCTCGGTTGTATTTTCATTTCTGTTTTCCCTGTCCCCGTTCCCGAGGCTGAGCAGCGGGTAAGGGACGGCAGAGCAGGGGGGCAGTGCCGGGAACACGCCTGACCTTGGGATAACACGGCGGGAGCCCTGTGCCTTTGGGGTGGGCTGTGGGAACAGCCGGGCATCGCTGGGGCTGCGCATGGGGGCGCAGCAATGCCAGGGAGACATGGGGGACCTGTCCCTGTTACCGGTGTCAGGGGCGAGGCGGTGTCCCGGTGTGTCCCCTGCTCTCCCGGGTGTCCCCTGCCCTCCCGGGGTGTCCTCCCGGTGTATCCCCTGCTGTGCCGGTGTGTCCTCTGCTCTCCCGGTGCGTCACCTTCTCTCCCGGGTGTCCCCTGCCCTCCCGGTGTGTCCTCCCGGTGTGTCCCCTGCTGTCCCGGTGTGTCTCCTGCTCTCCCGGTGTGTCCCCTGCTCTCCCGCTGTATCCTCCCGGTGTGTCACCTTCTCTCCCGGTGTGTCCCCTGCTCTCCCGGTGTGTCCTCCCGGTGTGTCTCCTGCTCTCCCGGTGTGTCCCCTGCCCTCCCGGTGTATCCTCCCGGTGTGTCCCCTGCTGTCCCGGTGTATCCTCCCGGTGTGTCACCTTCTCTCCCGGTGTGTCCCCTGCCCTCCCGGTGTGTCCCCTGCCCTCGGCCCGCAGCCGCTGCCGGCACAGCGCCCGGGGTTGTGCGGACGGGGCGCACGGGGAGGGCGGCACCGGGGGCGGGTACCGAGCGGGGGATCGGCCGTTCTGGCGGACGGGAGCCCGTGCCCGGTGCCGGGCCGGCGGGGGCGGCGCGCTCGGGGCGGGCCGGTGCCAGGCGGGCCGGTGCCAGGCGGGCCGGTGCCAGGCGGGCCGGTGCCAGGCGGGCCGGTGCCAGGCGGGCGTGCGCAGGGACCGCCCCGCTCCGCCTGCGACCGACCGGCGGCGGCTGCCGCGGCGGCACCGGGCCCCCGGGCGGGACCGGCTCTGCTCGGGGTCATCCCCTGCTCGGGGCCATCCCCCGCCCGGGGCCATCCCCCGCCCGGCATCCCGCCCGGTGCGCTGCGGTGTCCCCGCCCGCAGCGGCGGCAGCGCGGCCGGGCACGGCGACCTGCGCAACGCCGCCCGCTCCGCAGGTGAGAGCGGGCCCGGGGGTTTCGGGGGCACGGGCGAGGCTGGGCTGGCTGAGCAGAGGGGGTGACACTCCTGGGGCGCGGTGGGAGCTGCGGGCCCGGAGCTGGCGACCTCTGTGCGCCGGTGTCGGGGAGGGCCGGGCCGGTCTCCGCGTCACGGCCAGGGATGGCCGGAGCCCCCTTAGGGACAGGGATGGCCGTAGTCCCCTTAGGGACAGGGATGGCCGTAGTCCCCTTAGGGACAGGGATGCTGGCAGCCCCCCTTAGGGACAGGGATGCCCGGAGCCCCCTTAGGGACAGGGATGCCCGGAGCCCCCTTAGGGACAGGGATGCCCGGAGCCCCCTTAGGGACAGGGATGCTGGCAGCCCCCCTTAGGGACAGGGATGCCCGGAGCCCCCTTAGGGACAGGGATGCTGGCAGCCCCCCTTAGGGACAGGGATGCTGGCAGCTGCCGAGGCATCAGTGACAGCTCAGATGCGGGAAGCTGCCTGGGAGGGGGGGCTGGGGAAACGAAACCTGCTCCTGCGCTGGCTGCCTGCCCCAACGCTGCCCAGAAATGCTGCGGTTCCATTTTTGCGCTGTCCTCTTGTCCCGCTGAGGTCTCAGGCCAAGGGGGTGAGGGGAGACAACGAGGTTTCCACAGCCTGGGGAAGCCCCCCCGAGCAGCTCAGTGCTGAAGCAACCAGGGACACCCCAATACTGGCATGCCCTGCTGCAGGGCACCCTCCAGGGCTCAGGGGGGTGTCTCAGATCGGGCCTCTCCACCTGCCTCCACTGAACTGGGGTTTGCTGCCACCCCAGGCAGAGGACACTGGTCCTTGATGGGCCTGGACACCTCGGGAGCCCCCAGAGGGGTGCAGAAAAGCCTCCTCCTCTCCACGCCCCATCCCACAGGCAGGGAAGGCAGCCAAATCCCAGAGGGCAGGGACGACAGCTGGCAGGGTGATGCACCCCTGTCGGGCAAGAGGAGGTCCAGTGCCACCTCCTTTCACTTGCTGTGCCAAGCCCAGCTGTCAGCATGTGCCAGGAAGGGACACTGGCCCTGCCCACGGCTCGCAGCTGCATCAGCCACGTGTTAGCCAGACCTGGTGGGGACAGGGAGAGGGGCTACAGCCTCCAAAGTGGGCACCTGGCATGGTGCAGTCTGGCACTGGTTGGGCAGGCAGGGCAGGGCAAAGTCTGGGCTGCTGCTTGTGCCATCTGGATTTTATCTGCCACCTCTGCCTTGCCTTTGCTCCTCTCCTCCTCCGCATGGCCGCATTCCTGCCCGCCCCGGGTCTGGTCACAGCCCAGCTGTGCCTGTGCCACACCTCCCTCTCTCAAGGCCTTCCTGCCAGGAGCCAAGCACTGTTTGTGATGCTCTGGGAGCTGCTCATCCTCCCTGGTATCAGAGCAGAGCGTGTTTCCTGAGAAGAAAACATCAGCAATCAGCTCGGATTTTAGAGAGGAGAGCATGCTGTGCCACGCAGGGCCCTGGCATTGCATACCAGGGGCTGCCAGTGCATCTGGCAGAGGCATCAGCAGCTCTGCCCACTTCTCCCCCATCCCAGTGGCTTTTAAAGCAGCTCTTGCTGTCACAGAAACATCTCTTGTTCCAGCACTGCAGAAACACTCTTTGTACTTTGAACAGGACCCTTGAATGCCAGGCAGGGTGCCAGGCACCGGCAGCCAAGGCAGGGAGGGAACAACTGGCCCTGGCAGCAAGGAGCTGGAGGGGAGGTGGCAAACCCTGCCCTGCCCATGGGGACGGGTCCCCACACTGTCCCAGTGCTGGCTGGCAGCTGCCAGCCCCCTGCTGGCACCTGGGGGGCTCCTTGCCTGCACCCCAGCCCCACACGGGGCCACTGGAACGTGGGCACACATGTGTAGCAAGTCCCTGCCTGCCACACGTGGGTGTCTGCAGGAGGCTGCTCCTGCCTCGCAGCCCTTCATGGTTTTCTGGGTTTGGAGCGTGCAGACGGGTCAAGTGTCCCTGGGGATGTGCTGAAGGGGCACAGGGGAGGGAGCACAGGCACCGAGCTGGTTTGGGCACCAGAGCACCAGTGCCAGGGCCGCCTGTGCCACCCCTGCAGAGATGGCGAGTGCAGAGCCCGGCTCTGGGGAGGCAGCTGAGGCTGCAGAGGCCGAGTACGAGGTGATGCCGTGGGACAGGACGGAGCAGAGCCAGCGGCTGGCCGTGGACGAGCTCATCAGCAGCGAGGCCAGCTACGTGCACAACCTGCAGCTGTGCGTGTGCGACATCCGGGCGCACCTCCGGGACAAGCAGGTGACACGGGCCACCCCTGCCCGGGGGCTGCAGGGTCAATCTGCCCGAATCACTGCAGGGGCTCCTTCCCCCTTCCTCTGCTCCCCCTCAGCAGCCAGCCTCTGGGGTAGGATCGACTTTGGGTCTGACCCAGTGCAGCCACCCAGTGACTTAACCCTGTCCTGCCTGGGAGCCAGCCAGGTCTCAGCATTCCCAAAGCCTCCTGAAACACAGCGTCACTCACTGGGGTGTCCCATGGGGCAGGGAGACGGCCACCAGCAGCGCCTCTAAAGCCCCTGGTCCATCTCTGATGTATTTGGCTTAGCCTGGGGCATCTTTGTTCCCTTCAGCTGCCCGGGCTGGACCTGGAAGGACTCTTCTCTAACACCGACGACATCCTCCACGTCTCCAGACGGTTTCTGAAGGGGCTGGAGGCCACGGCCGGCCAGGGGCAGGAGCAGCTGCTCTGCATCAGTAAGTGGTGCAGTGCCAGTGGCTGCCCCGTGCCCACCCGTGAGGGGATGTGCCAGCAGGGTGCCCACCTTAGCAGAGCCCTGCCCTGGCACACTTGGCATTGCTCCATGGGCTTTGTCCTTCCAGCAGGCTGGGGATAAACCCCTGCTTTCTCTGAGCCCGTGGGAAAGGACCCTCTCTCTGGCCCCCCTCTCCTTCCCCAGGCACGCTGTTCCAGGAGTTCAAGGAGGAGATGGAGACTGTCTACAAGATCTACTGTGCCAGCTATGACCATGCCCTGCAGCTGGTGGAGAGCTACCGCAGGGACCCCCGGCTGCAGGAGGAGATCCTGGCCACCCTGAATGCCACCGTGTAGGTCCCTGCTGCTGAGCCACCACCTCCCTGTCCCTGTTTCACATCCTGGCCTTGCCCTTCTCCTCTCAGGACACGCTGCCTGCATGGATCAGTGTCACCAGGGTGTCATATCATGGCCACCACCTTTGTGGCATTTCCTGGTGTAATCCCTGGCAGCTGTCCTGGACCCTGGGTTCAGAATCTTTTATGATGGATGCCAAAAGAAGGGATGGGTGACATCCACAGCTGCTGCCGTCCCCCGAGAGGGCACAGCCTCCCCACACGGACCAGAGAGACACAGGCTGGCCCTAGGACAGCTGAACTGTCAGGGGGGTCACAAACGCTGCCAGAGGCAGGAGAAGCAGGAGTGGCAGTGGAGGAGCTGCTGGGATTTGCTGCTTAGGGCACAAGTGATGTGATTCCCAAAAGAGAGATGGAGGGAAGGGAGACGCTGCCAGCGCCCTCCCTCCCTGCTGCCCACTGATGCCATGTCCAGGGCTGGGCAAGCACAGCTGCTCAGGGAGGCAGGACACCCACCCAGGGCTGGCACTGCCTCGGGGCTGCCAGGGACAGTCCCCCTGCAGCTGGAGGGTAGAAGCCAGAAATGCCCCACAACATCTGGGCTGCTGTCTCCCAAAAACACTCCCAGAGAAGCCGTGGAGAGCAGCAGGGCAGGAAGGCAGCCCCGCACACCAGCCCTGAGCCATTCCCCTCTCCATCAGGCCTCACACGGGCGCGTCAGACCTCAGCTTCTTCCTGGTGATGCCCGTGCAGAGGGTCACCAAATACCCTCTGCTGCTGGGGAAGATCCTGGAGAACACCCCGAGCAGTGCCAGTGCCCACTCAGCCCTGCAGGCAGCGGCTCGTGCCATGGCCCAGGTCAATGCCAACATCAACGAGCACAAACGGCGCAGGGAAGTGGGTGAGTGGCCAGGGGCTCAGTGAAGGAGAGGGGCACAGCACCCAGAACAACCCCAGGGCTCTCCTGGGCACTATTTCCCACTTAAATCAGTTCAGAGCTCTCCTGCACTCCATTAACCCTGCCTGGTGGAGCTGCAGACTCTGTGCAGGCAGCTCCTGGAACTGCTCTGGTCCTGTAAATGCCACTCTGGGCAAGACCCAGAGGCTGCAGGAGCAGGGTGGCATGGGGGGGCTGAGGACAAAACCAGTCTGTCCACATTCCTGGGGCTGGGGAGCTGGGAATAACAGTCTTGCCCTTGGGATAGGAGAAATCAGGCTCCCCTTTCTTTTAGGTTTTCCTAATCCTTTCCTTCTTTGACGTGGCTTGTGCTTATCCTGCTGCTCAGCCTCTGTGCTGCTCACCTTCCTTGCTTGCTCAGCCATGAGGTCTCCTCTTCTGATCCTTTTTTCCCCCCTTATTTTGTGTCCTCCCACCCGAGGCAGCGACCAAATACAACAAGGCCGAGCAGCTGACGCTGCGGGACCGCCTGGCACGCCTCAACGCCCACTCCATCGCCAAGAAAACCACGCGCTTCAGCCGGCTCCTCATGCACGAGACTGGCATCGTGGCCAAGGTGGGCAGCCCTCGCCCGCAGCCCGGGCACTGCTGCCCCTCCTCGGTCTTTCCTGGGGCATTTGGCTGCTCCTGAAGTGCCTCAAGAGAACGGGGAGCACAGGGTCAGCAGGGGTGGGGTGCTGGTGCTGCCTCCCGGTCCTCCATCGTGCCAAGGAGCAGCGGGATTGCAGGGATGCAGGAACTGCAGGGATGCAGGAACTGCAGGGATGCAGGGATTGCAGGGATGCAGGGCCACCCCTTCCCAGAGCATTGCAGCACTTTGGCCCCTCAAGGACCAGCAGGACCCTTGGGCCCCCCAGCAAAAGGAAGAACACCCCAGCGTTGCCCAGCACCACCACCACACCAAGAGCTTTGTTGCTGCCTGCACCAATGCTTTGGCCCTTCCCAGATTCACGGAACCTCTCAGGCTCTGCCCTGCCCTGTGAGCTCCGGGCTGCTGCTGCAGCCCCCAGGGATGGCCTCAGCCCTGCCCGTGCTGGTGACAAGCTGCCTCTGTCCTTGCAGACTGAGGACAAGGAATATGACGACCTGGAAGAGAAGTTCCAGTGCGTGGCGTCCAGTGTGGCCACGCTGAAGGAGAACGTGGCGTCCTACCTGGGCCACTTAGAGGTAACACCTTGAGCACAGGCCAGGGGTTGGCCCCATCCCCTCAGGAGCTGTTCCTTGGGGTTGTGGAATACTCTCAAGCCCCAAAGCTGGAGCTGTTGGGGATGTTCAGCGGTTTGCAGCTGAGCTGTTGTGTCAGGGAGTCGCACAGCATCCAAGGATTGCTCGGGTCCAGGGGAGTTTAAACCAAAGCTGAGGCTTTGACAACACTCTCTGAGCTGGTGTCACCTGAGAATGATCCACCCTTAAACTTATCATTATTTCAAGGTCTTAAATGATTGAAAAGGCCGGCTGTTGTTCAGCCTGGGAATTCTTGCTTTAATAATGTGTGTCAGGCAGAAATGTCCCCAGATCAGTCCTGACAACAAATTGCCCTCCTAAAATCACCTGGATCAGCAGCTGCTACGATTTGCTCATGGAAATTCCTTGGGGCATGTGAGGAAAATGCAAGTCAGTGCTGGCAAAACATGCAATCCCCAGGCACAGCATTACCAGGAAAACCTCGGGAAGCGGCCGAGGGTTCAGCAGCAATTCCTGGGCTGGAGAGACCTCGCAGAAAAGCCTGACAAGGGCTGCCCACACAGGATTGTTGGGAAGGAGGTAAAGGAGGGTGGTGCTGCCTCCCTTGCAGGTGTTCCTGCTGCCCGCCCCGCACCGGCGTGAGCTGCAGATGGAGCAGGGACCAGCCCAGCAGCATCGCCGCCTCTCCGAGCTCCTCCACAGCACCGTTTTCCCTGAATTTGTGAGTGCTCCTGCCCTGCACGTCTCCTTCAGCTCTCCCACCTTCTGCCGGGGCGCAGTGGGGGCTGGCAGCCCGGAGCTGAGGGCACCCCGGTGTCCTCACAGTGCCCAGCAGCAGTAACAGGATCCACCTGCAGTCCCTGGCACACGGAGAGGGAGCAGCTCCAGGGGAGAAGGGAGGGCAGGGCAGAGCCGGAGCAGGAGCAGAGCTCCTGAGCCCACCCAGGGCTGGGATGAGCTGCAGTGTCCCTGTGCCTGCAGGGAGATGGAGAGGAGAACAGAGCACCCCCAGGCAGGGGCAGCGTGCCCTGAAATGGGCTCTGGGCAGGCGGTGGGGGGAGACTCAGCTGAGGCTGCTCTGAGCCGTTCAGGGGTCCTGCCCAGCTCTTTCCATGGAGAACACCTCTGGAATTGTGTTGGGCTCCTCCCAAGGGTTTGTGTTGGTTGGCATCCCCTGTGCCCTCAGGGAAAGCTGTCCCAGGTGCTCCTCACTCCACACAAGCCCCTCCAGAGATGCCCAGGCCTCTTCCTCTGCCCCTGTGCTGGCAGCTGCTCCTGTCTGGGGGGCTCGTGTGGAAATTGGGCTTCTCTGACTCCCAGAAGCAGCGTGTGGACAGGCTGGTGTGGCAGCCCCTCTGCAGCCTCTCAGACACGCTGGAGGGGCCCCAGCAGCTGGTCAAGAAGCGCCTGGACAAGCTGCTGGACTACGAGAAGATCCAGGAGAGGAAGAGCGAGGTGGGCAGCGTGAGCTACGACGAGGAGGCAGCCATGAACACCTACCTGGCCATCAATGACCTGCTGGTGGCCGAGCTCCCCCAGTTCAACCAGGTGGCCGTGCAGCTCCTGGGCCAGATCCTGCGCTCCTTCAGCGCCCTGCAGCTGGACTTGGCCACCCAGGTCCTGCACCACGCAGAGAAGGAGCTGGAGCAGGTGAGTGGGACCCCTCAGGTGCAGGAGCTGAGCTAGAACTGCCTTCTCCAGCTTTGGGAGATCTCTCAGACATCAGGGCACTGCAGGTTTGCTGGGGCCCACCTGCCCTTGCAGACACACAGCTCCCCGTGGAGCATCTGTGAGGATCTCCCTTCCTTCCTGCTCAGGAAAAGCCAAATTTTCTCTTCTGCACTGTTAGAAACTGTCCTGCTTTCTGTCTGTGGACACTGCTGGTAATTTATTGATGTGCTGCTGTCTGAGAGATCAGTGTGAGCTCAAAGCTCCTGAGAGCCCCTGCCAGGAAGGCAGGGAGGAGAAAGGCAGCTCCTGGGCTAGGGAAAGCCTCCCCCAGCCCCATCCCTGGGAGATGTCTCCCAGAACTCCCAACTGCTCAGAACCCTGAGCCTGATGTTTGTAAATATGGGAATGAGGGCTGCCAGGAGCTGAGCACAGCCCTGGCCTGAGCCACGACCAGGAGGAGAACAAGGTGCAGCTCAGAGCCAGAGAGGAGCACCTTTGATCCCCTGTGCGAGGTGAATTTGGTGGTCAGGTCTGCTCTCTTTCTCAGCCCTTCTTCCTCCTGCTTCCCTCCTGCCCCTGCCCAGAGCTCTCCCTGATGCCAGCCTGTCTCCACAGCTGCCCCATGGCCACATGCCCCTGCCCAGCTTCTGGAAGGTGGTGGAGGACAGCCTGCAGCAGTCGGGTGCCCAGCTCCGTGCCTTCTGCCAGGCCTTTGAGACGGTCACACCCAGCCCTGGCACACAGGTAGGGGCTGGGCAGGGCACGGCTTAGGCCAGCTGCATGAAGAGAGAGATTGCACAGGGCAGAAAATCCCCTTGGTGGGGAGGCTGGCTCGGATCAGGGCCCAGGGGGTTGCCACAGCATTTTCCCCAAGCCCCTGAGAGCTGGGGATGAGCAGGGATGAAGCAGCTGAGCTCTGCTGGTTCTGGACACTCATCTCCAAACCTGGGCGTGGAGCAGTGAACGTGAAGGAGTTTCTGCTCTTAACCTGCCCCTGGGATGTGATCCTGCAGAAAGCAGAGCAGGTGTACCTGCAACAGGAGTACCCTGAGGGTCTCACGGAATGCTCCTGTGTCTCCCTGTGCTCCCCACCAGCCTCTGACCCCTGCTGAGGAGAGGAAGGTCCTTTCCCTTGTGAGCAAGCACGGCCCAGACAAGCTGTACCAAGTGACCAGCAACATCAGTGGCAGCAGAGACTTGGACCTGACCCTGCTGAGGGGACAGATCGTGGCTCTGCTGCAGAGCGCCGACACCAGGGGCAACACCAGCAGGTGGCTGGTGGATGCTGGAGGTACTGTGGGCACTGTGGGCAGCCTCTCCTCGCCTTGGCACCGGGGCCAGATTCACCTGAGCCATCTCCTCAGCCTGGATGAAGCAGCAGGCCGTGGTCTCCTGGTGCTCGCTGCCAGGCTGTGCTCAGCCCAATGCCCCCTGAGCTTTGCTATCAGCTCTGAGGTCCAGGTGCCCTGGCTGATTCCCCAGGGGAAGTGTCATGGCTGGGGAAGGAGAATCCACACACGCAGAAACACGTGGAATGCCTTTTTTGGCAGGGATTTCTCCTGGATATCCCCTAGTGATGGGCAGGGCTGCTGTGTCGTGCCAGGCAACAGCCAAATTGTCATTCCCGTCTCCTGCAGCCAGTCCTGTGTGTGCCAGGCAGCAGGGCCCCACGAGCCGTGTGTGTCCATGTCCTGCAGGTCCCCGAGGGTTTGTTCCTGCTGCCAAACTCCGGCCCTACAGCCCTGCACAAGTGCAGCAGCCTGTGCTGCAGCTGCTGGGCCTGGACGGTGGCACTGAGGGGAGGAGACATTCCTGTGCAGCCCCTGAAGCTCCCAGGCCACAGGTGGCCACCTTCACCCCAACATTCCAGGTGAGAGTGGGGGACATCCCCTGGGGCCATTTCTAGCAGCCCTACCAGCTCCCTGCTAGCCCTGCTGTGGGTGGGAAGGTGGACCTGCTTTTCCAGGGTGGGGGACCAGTGTGGGACCAGGGTGGACAGGGCAAGAGAACTGTCCCTGGTGGGTGCCCAGTCCATGCATGGCACTGCTGTGCTGCCCTCTCGGAACTGCCACATCCTTCCTCCCTTGACTCCCAGCTCCAGCAAGGGCTCCCTCCCTCCTTCCCTCCCTCCTTCCCTCCCTCCTTCCCTCCCTGCCTCCCACAGGTGGTCGCCGGCTTCTCCTTCGCCGCCCGGAGCCCGCAGGAGCTGAGCCTGCAGGCGGGGCAGCCCGTGCAGCTGCTGGAGCCCCACGACAAGAAGGGCAGCACGGAGTGGAGCCTGGTGGAGGTGAACGGCCAGAGGGGCTACGTGCCCTCCAGCTACCTGGTGACCGTCCCCGTGCAGGAGCCCGCGGGCTGGAGCTTGCCCGTGTGAGCGTGGCAGCCCCGGCAAGGGCACGGATGGCAGCTTGGCACCTGAGGACACCTCACAGGAGATGCTGGAGGGAGGCAGCCCCCGGCTGGGAAGGTGGTGGGACAAAGCCCAGGGACGTGGGCACGAGGATGGCACTTGGGAGGCGCCTTTGGATGGGAGGTGTGAGGGTGCCAGGTCCCGTGTGTGTGTTGGCACAAAGCAGAGCAGCACCAGGGAGTGAGTGAGGGCAGGGGGCTGCAGTTATCCAGGGATTTGCTGAAATCTCTGCAAGTGGCAAATGTGTCCTGGGGTGATGAGGCAGCATCGCCCTGGTTAGAGCAGGACTGAGCAGCAAAGTGCAGCCTGCAGAGGGGTCCTCAGCCAGGCACTCGGACACCTGGGCACTGAGCACCTGGGCACTGGGGCACTTGGGCACCTGAAGCACTTGGGCACTGGGCACCTGAGCACAGGAGAATTTGGCTACCTGGGCACCTGAGAATTTGGCTACTTGGACACCCAAGTGCCTGAGAATTTGGCTACTTGGGCATCTGAGTACCTGAGAAACTGGGCACCTGAGTGCCTGAGCTTTGGACACTGGGCAGATGGGTACTGGGCACCTGAGTACAGGAGAATTTGGCTACCTGGGCACCTGAGAAATTTTCTACCTGGGCATCTGAGTACCTGAGAAACTGGCCACCTAGAATTTGGCTACCTGGGCACCTGAGTACGTGAGAAATTGAGCACCTGAGTACCTGAGGATTTCGCTTCCTGGGTACCTCAGTACCTGAGAAACTGGGCACTTGGGCACCTGAGAATTTGGCTACCGTGGCACCTGAGGATTTGGCTACCGCGGCACCTGAGTGCCTGAGCCTTGGGCACTGGGCAGATGGGCACTGGGCACTTGAGTACCTGAAAAATTTGCTACCTGGGCACCTGAGGATTTGGCTACCTGGGTACTCGAGGATTGGCTGCCCGGGCACTGAGGATTTGGCTGCCTGGGCACTGAGGGTTTGGTTACCTGGGCACTGAGGATTTGGTTACCTGGGCACTGAGGGTTTGGCTACCTGGGCACTGAGGGTTTGGTTACCTNTGGTTACCTGGGCACTGAGGATTTGGTTACCTGGGCACTGAGGGTTTGGCTACCTGGGCACTGAGGGTTTGGTTACCTGGGCACTGAGGATTTGGCTGCCTGGGCACTGAGGGTTTGGCTACCTGGGTACCCGAGGATTTGGTTACCTGGGCATTGAGGATTTGGTTACCCGGGCACTGAGGATTTGGCTGCCCGGGCACTGAGGATTTGGCTGCCCGGGCACTGAGGATTTGGTTACCCGGGCACTGAGGATTTGGCTGCCCGGGGACTGAGGATTTGGTTACCCGGGCACTGAGGATTTGGCTGCCCGGGCACTGCGCTCTCGGCTGCGCTGGGCGCGGCCGGCAGAGGGAGCCCCGCGCCCGCTCCCGGTGCCCGCGGGGACACCGGGACCGTGCGGGGATACCGGGACCGTGCGGGGACACCGGGACCGTGCGGGGACACCGGGACCGTGCGGGGATACCGGGACCGTGCAGGGATACCGGGACCGCGGGGATACCGGGACCGTGCGGGGACACCGGGACCGTGCGGGGACACCGGGACCGTGCGGGGATACCGGGACCGTGCGGGCACCGGGACCGTGCGGGGATACCGGGACCGTGCGGGCACCGGGACCGTGCGGGGATACCGGGACCGTGCGGGCACCGGGACCGTGCGGGCACCGGGACCGCGGGGATACCGGGACCGTGCGGGCACCGGGACCGTGCGGGGACACCGGGACCGTGCGGGCACCGGGACCGTGCGGGCACCGGGACCGTGCGGGGATACCGGGACCGTGCGGGCACCGGGTCTCCCGAGACTCCCGAGTGCCCCTGCCACCCTCACAGACCCCCGGCGGGCGGGCGCAGGTCCCGTGGAAGAGGTTTTTGGGAGAATCAATCCGTGCTGGTCCTGACTTAAGGCTCGGTTTGGGAACGGAGGCAGCATTCCCGAGGTATCCGTGCCTCAGTTTCCCCGTGGCCGCACTTTGAGGAGATGCTGGTGGGGCTGAGCTGGGCAGCCCTGCCACGGTGCCATCAGGAGCGCCGCGGGCCTGGCACCGCACGCTGCCCATCCCTCACCGAGGCCAGTGGAGCACCCGGCTGGCGTCGCCCCGGCTGCCCTGGGCTCCAGGCACTGCCCACATCAAAGGTGCCCGTGCCGGCTGGTGAGTGCTGGCATGCCCCGTGCCCTGCCGTGCCCTGCCGTGCCCTGCCGTGCCCGGGGGCAGCAGCACGCCCGGCCACCCACGGGCTCCCTGCGGGCTCCCCAGTGCAGCCGTGGCTGCGGGCTGGGCAGCGGGGCAGGGCGGGCACGTCCTCACCCAACCCCGAGCAGGTGCCAGACGGGTGGGCACAGCCCCAGGCAGTGCCCTGCGCGTCCCCCGGGGGGGCTGGGGCTGTTTGAGGCAGAGTGGGGCTCACCCCCCTTTTAGCTGCACCTGTGGGGTGGCTGGGGGGCAGCCACCTCTGCCCAGGTGCCCTTGAAATGCCCGAGGAAATGCTCACCTCCACAAAACCCGGGAGGGGACAGCAGTGCCAGAGCTGGGACGTGCCCTGGGGATGTTGCCAGCCTGGGGAAAGGCTGGTGGGTTCCTCAGCAAGGGGAAAGGAGTAGGCTGGGGACGAGGGTCCTTGAGCGGGGGCCGTGTGTCTGTGCTTGCCCTGCAGCCACACGGCTCACCCCTCCAGCTCCCTGCTGGTGGCTCCTCTGGATTTTTCCATCCCTGATCAAATCCCATCAGGTCGGGTTTCCCTGTTTGCCCTGTGCCAGGCCGTGGCAGCAGCCGGGCAGGTCCTGTGCAGCGCTGGGAGGTGACAGTGGCACAGGGAGCGCCGAGCCCGCTGCTGCCTGGGCCCCGATCTTCCCGTGCAAGGAGCGCTGGGCTGGGCAGGGCCGGGCTGGGCATCAGCAGCAGGAGGGAAATGAGCTCCTGTGGCTCCTCCGGCCTCTGGGTGCCCAGGGCTGAGCTGGGCTCTGCTCTTCCCCCAGTCCTGCTGCCAGCCTCGATAGCCAGGGGACCTTTCCCGGGGGTCTGTCCCCAGGACAGGGCCCGGTCCTTGGCTGCAGGACATGGGTGCCCATCGCTCCCTTCTGCCATGAATTCACCCCGAGCCTGGAAGTGCCCTCTCGGAGTCACGGGAGGGCACGGGGCTCTTCCAGCCCAAACATGAGGGGGGATAAAGGGCACAAGAGTGCCTTTAAATAGCCTGTCAAGGACAGGCTCTCCCGGGAGGAATGCTCTGGCTGGCCCGGTGGAACATGCCAGTGGCTGGGGGCACGGGGGGACAGCCGGGCAGGGCCGGCAGCTCGCCAGGAGCCCAGGTCAAGGTTAGGCACGGCCTTGGCCCGGTGCCACCGTGCCACGGCTTGGCACCGGGGAAACGGAGCCGTGCAAACAGGGAAATTAATGCCAGGCCAGGGCTTTGCTGTGCCCGGGGCTGATCTGGGGGTGGCAGCGGGGCCAGGCAGCCGCCGCTGCCCGCACGGAATTTGGCAGCGGCGCTGCTGCCGGAGCCGCCTCCGGGGCAGCTCCGGTTGTCCCGGAGCGGCTGCGGCGCTCCTGTCCGGGCTGATTCATATCCTGGACGTGCGGGCATTTGGATGGTGTCCACCCGCGGGGTGTGACAGGGCACGGCCGTGTCCCCAGGGCGCGGGTGCCAGCCCGGCCGCGCTCCGGGAGCAGGACGGGGCAGCTCCATGTGCCTGCTGCTCCCTGGGGACACGGCGCTGCCACCAGCGCATCCCAGGTGAGATCCCGGGATGCCAGGAGGATGGATGGCTGAGTGCCCAGGTGGCCATGTGCCCATCGGCTCTGCCGGGGCGCCCCGGGGGAGGAGATGTGAGAAAAAGCAGCTGCCACAAGCCCCAAGCCCAGGCTGCGATCCCAGAGCCATCCCTCAGCACGGGGTGCAGAAAGGGAGAGGGCCAAAAGGCTCGGAGGGCACAGCCAGGAGGAGCAGGGTGGCCACCTGGGCTGAAGGGCACAGCCAGCCCGGGTGGCTTTAGGCACGGAGCTCAAGCTGCCCGCGCTGCCAGGCCGAGCTGGCTCCCAGCAGAGCCAGCCTGTGCCGCAGCGATCCCTGCCACCTGCCCACGGTGGCCCACGAGGAGCAGCCCGAGCCCCCGGCCACCCTCGCCGGCCTCTCAGGAGCCCCCTGGAGCAGCGAGGCCCGAGGAAGGGATGGATGAACGCCATGGATGAGCCCGGGGCTGCAGAGCAGGAGGGCAGCCGTGACCAGCAGCGCTCGCTCCGGGCTGGCGCAGCTGGCACCTGAATTGTCAAATAAAGCGTGAAATTGCTTTCGTGCTCTGCTGCCTTTGCTGAGCTGGGCCGTCTTTAGGGCCCCCCCGTGCCACCCGCGCCGTGTCCCGCTGTGGTGGCACTGCCAGCTGAGCCCCGGGCTGGGCTGGCACACCGTGCCTGGCGCATCACACGTGGCACACCGCACATGGCACACCGTACAGGGCACACCGCACATGGCACACATGGCACACCATGCTTGGCACACCATACATGGCACACCGCTCATGGCACACTGTACATGGCACGCATGGCACACCGCACATGGCACACTGCACATGGCACACCACACATGGCACACATGGCACACCGCTCATGGCACACCGTACATGGCACACATGGCACACCGCACATGGCACACCGCACCTGGCACTGCCCCCAGTGCCCCTGGGCCGGTGGCTGCGGGTGCTCCAGCGTCCCCTCCCTGCCTCGCAGCCCCTCCGCTGGGCAGGAGCACCAGCGCCATGGGGGCAGGGGATGGGGGCACCAGGAAAGGGATCACCCACCCCTGCCGTGGGGCTGTGATGGATCCCTGTCGTGGGGATGGGGATGGATCCCTGCCATGGGGCTGCTGTGGCGCTGTCCCACCTCCTCACCCCGCGGGCTGCCCAGGGTGCCGGGTCAGCTCGGTGGGGCGCTGCCCGTGCCCGTCAGACCTGGCTCCCTCCGGCCGTGCCAAGGCTGCGGAGCTCCCCCCGGCAGGGACAGAGGGACAGCCCGGCCCTCGCCCGTGGGTGACAAATGGCTCCTGAGCCACCTGGCTGTGCACAGAAACTGTTCTCCACCTCTAATAACAATAATCAATCATCCTGCTCTGGGCAGGGCATGTGCAAGGTCTTCCAGTGCTGGGGAGCTGGTGGGGCTGGCAGGGGGATTTTGGGGGGCTCCCCTGAGGGGACACAGAAGCCTCTGCTCCGGGGGTGGCTCCTCTCCTGCACTGCCCACCAGCAGGGCAATCCAGGGCAATACACACCCTGCCAGGGGGAGTGCCAGCTCCTCGGGGCCGTGAAAATCGTGATTTTGGAGGGGAAAGCAGCTGGGAGCCCAGGTCTGGCACGGGGCACTGGGTGCTCCCTGCTCCAGAGGATCCCACGGGTCCCCGTGCCAAAGGAGCTGCTGAGTGAGGCCCAGGAAAAGGGATTTCTGCTGGGCCCAAGATACTTTGCCCCAGGGAAGTGGTGCCACTTTTTTCCAGCTACTGATAAAGTTAAACCCTTGATCTGGTTAACGATTTAGCCCATAAGGCAAGCCGGGGTAGGACAGCAATGCTGTTAATGCCACTGGCTTGGTGACACTTCAGTTTTTTCCTAACATCTAAGCCAACCCTACTCTCTGTCAGGTGGAAACCATCGCCCTTGTCCTGCCACTTCTGGAGAAATCCAGGGCAGGGAAAGGGAACGACAAGGACAAGGCCAGGCGGGTGTGGGGGTGCAAATGCCCCCATGGCAAAAACTCAGGGAATGATGGGGATGGGATCCAGGAGCCCCAGGAGCTGTGGGAACCCCTGGGAAAGGTCCTCAAGCATCCAGAGGGGTCGGGAAGCATCCAGAGGGGTTGGGAAGCATCCAGAGGGGCTGGGAAGCATCCAGAGGGGTTGGGAAGCATCCCGCTCCCCTCCCCGCTGTGCTGGGTACTCCACGCAGCCCGCAGAGCCACATCTTCATCTCTGCCCAAAGGAGGAGATTTGGAGTCTAAAATCTGCCTCTTTCAGGAGGAGCTCACAGGAGCTACAAGCTGCAGACACGAACTCTTTTGTGAGCCCGACCCGGCTGGGATTTACCTAAAACAGCCCCAGGGAGGAGCGGCTGGGCGGGGATGTGGGGGGAGAGCAAGGGAGGGAGGCTGCCTGGTGTTTGTTTTTCCTAATGAAGCCCCATAATCAAATCATTTCAATTTTAATTGTGAAGCCAGCAGGCAGATTTCTGTCTCCAGATGGGACGTGATAGGAATAGTTGAAGGCTGGGCACGTTCTGCCACTCACCTTAATGCTTGGGACAAGGCAGATGGGAGCAGCACGGCTTGGGAAGAGCCTGGTCCCCCCCGGGATGAGGATTGGAGCTGGGATCGGACCCCAAACCTCTCCTGCTTTGTTGATCCAGGGAAACCGACCCCTGGCAAGATGTGCTGCACCATTCCCAGGTCTGAGCAGGGGAGGCAGGAGTTTTCCCTGCTTTCATCTCCCAGCTCTGCCAGGATACATGAAATCTATTTGTGGCTTCCACTTACCATCTCATTTTCTTGGGTGTTTGGACTTTGGGAAAAGAGGAAAATAAAGAAACTGGGTCATTTTGCATTTATTTGGAAGAGCTGAGATGTTAACCCTCCAGCTGCACAGAGCTCTGCTCGTGTCTCTGTGGGACTGGCAAACTTGGAACAAGTGGTGGGGGAGAGGAGAAACCTCCTCAGCAAAAATAAAGTGTCTTTTGCCCAGCTTCTTGTTCAGGCTGGGGGGAACTGGGTGCAGCGGGGCTGGGATTTGCCCTCCCAGTCTAAAGCAGTGACCTGAGGCAAAACACATCAACTTGTTCCTTGTGATGGAGAAATGGAGCTGGGAGTGATTCAATCCTCCAGGGAGGGGCATCCTGCTGCCTGCCAGGCCTCAGCAGTCACCCAGGGCATGGGGTGGGCATCGAGGGCTGTCAGGGAGGGGGGATATCTCCTCTCCTCCCCCCCAGAGAGGTTTGTTCCTCCCAAAGATGCTGAGGCCAGAGGTACAGCGTGACCCAGGCAGGTCACAGCAAGTATGGAACACCTCGTGCTCCTCTTGGTGCCTTCCCCAGAGCCATAACGGGGCAGAGCCCAGCTCTTATCAGGGCTGCCTGCTGCTGCTTTCACCTCCTCGAGCTGCTGCCCTCCCCATGCCCACAGTCCAGCTCGCAGGGCTGACAGCATCTCTGGAATCTCCTGGAAGGGATCCAGGCGGGGAATGCCAGGCACAGAGCAGCCACCAGCATCCCTGTGGCCTGGCCTCTTCACTCTTATCAGCTCTCCCTTTTGTGCCTGAGTCATCAGGGACGAGAGCATCAAATCAGCAATAAAGTCATTACCTTGCTAAGCAAATACAGATGAAAACCTCACTTTATTTTTTGAAATCCGAGCCCTGGCTCCTGAGGGCTTGAAGTGGCACCTTCCCTGTGCCAGCCTTCCCTCGGCTGGGTGTGCTCCAGCCCCAGGGACAGCCTGGGTGAGGAGAGGAGGGGCAGAGGGGCACTGTCCTGGCAGCCCAGGGATTTCCTGGGATGGGGAAGCTCCGTGCTTGGTGCAGCCCCACTCTGGTGGCTCCAGCTGCAGGAACTGGGCACATCCAGTGGGAGTGACACCCCCTCTGCTACCCTTCACCCCTGGCACCTCGTGCCTCCTGCATGTCTGCAGTTCAGCATGCCATGCCATGCCATGCCATGCCATGCCATCCCATCCCATTATCCCATCCCATCCCATCCCATTATCCCATCCCATCCCATCCCATCCCAGGGCTGATTTGGGATTCTGCTCTCCTTCTCCCTCCTTGAATATCCCACCGTGTCCAAATGGGAACTAAACTGAGGCCACCAGACTCTTTTGTGCCAGGGCTGCGGGCGGTTTCAGCCCTGGCTCCTGGCACGAGCGAGTGGCTGCCAGGCTCTGGTGGGCACCGCTGTGTGCTGGCTCTGCTGCCGTGCCCAGCGTGCCCTGCCTGCCCCAGGGCCAGGCAGGGCTGGGGTTAAACCCACCCTGACCAAAACCCGTGCCAGGGCCGTTCCTTCCTGGCATGGCAGCTCCAGCTCAGGCTGCCCTGGCCCGCTGCCCATCCCCGAGCGCTCTCCCGGTGTCCCGGGGGTTCTCCCGCTGCAGCCCCGTGGGGAGGTGCTGGGCACGGGCTGGCAGCTGCCCCCACAGCCTGGCAGGGGCTCAGGCAGCACCAGGAGGAGGTGGGGATGAGCTGGAGGCAGGCTGTGGGACACAGGGCAGGGGCTGGGGGTGTCCTGCCAGGGAGCAGCACCCAGCTGGCACTGGGTGACCCACCGAAGCAGGCAGTGCCACCCCAGCAGGGCTTGTTCTCCTCAGGCAGGAGCAGGAGGAGGAGGGATGCTGCTCATGGGTGGACTTGTCCCCCTGCCACGCAGGAAAAGGTCCCTGAGGACAGCAGAGGAGGGCAGACCTGGCTGTGCTGGGAGGGAACAGCCGCTGGGAATGCCAATGACCGGCCCTGAATGCTGGTTTTGTTTTGTCCCAGGCACGGCTGTGCCCTGCCTCTGCCAGGCAGCGTTGGAACCCTGCTGCTCACGGGGCATGAGTGCCCTGGGAAGTGCCAGCGACAAAGCTGAGCTTGAGGAGCAGCCCTGCATGCCACCCTGCCAGGCTGGCACAGCGGGCACAGCGGGGATGTGCTGGGCTCTTCCCAGGCTTCCAGTGAGGTTTGATCCCGTCTGCCAGAAGGAAAAGTGATGGGAAGAGAAGAGATGGTCAGGAAGTGAGCGAGGTGTGCTTCCTGCATCCCTCCTGCTCAAATACTGCACAATTCCTGCCCAATTCCTGCACAATTCTGACAAAATTCCTACCCAAATCCTGCTCAATTCCTGCTCAGTTCCTGCACAATTCCTGCCCAAATCCTGCACAAGTCCTGCTCAATTCCTGCACAATTCTGTCACAATTCCGCCAGAGTTCCTGCTCAGTTCCTTCACAATTCCTGCTCAATTTTGGCAAAATTCCTGCTCAATTCCTGCACAATTCCTGCTCAATTCCTACATAAATCCTGTTCAATTCCTGCCCAATTCTTGCCCAAATCCTGCTCAATTCCTGCACAGTTCTGGCACAATTCCTGCACAGTTCCTGCTCAATTCCTGAACAGTTCCTGCTCAATTCTGGCACAATTCCTGCTCAGTTCCTGCTCAATTCCTACTCAATTCCTGAACAGTTCCTGCTCAATTCTGGTACAATTCCTGCTCAATTCCTGCCCAATTCCTGCACGCCCACCTCTCCCCTGCATGCCCCTTGGGGCTGGGCAGTGCAGGCAGAGCTTTGCCTGGCTGGGGACGGAGCTCTCAGCTGGCCCTGGAGCTGGGACAGGGAATGCTGCCCCGTGACTCTGCAGGGCTCCTGGGGAAATGGAGATGCTGCCAGGCACGGTGGTTTTTACAGCCTCAGCCCTGCTGCACGCTGCCAGATCCATGCCCTGAAAATCTAGTTTCCTAGGGATAAACAGGATTTCTTATTCCTGTTGCTAATGCGATATCAGCGCATTGCAACGCAGATGTTTTAATAACACATAGCTCTTTTAATGGAGGGCCTTAAGCTAATTTACTTCCCAACATTTGTATATGTCCTATTTGCTCATTTATTCATGCAGTAAATGGAATTAAAGTTGCTAAAGGTTTAGAAAATTACAAATACACTGGAGACGTGCACCTGTGTATTAGAACAAGGAGCAGGAGCTGCTTTCCTGGCACAGAGGGTGCCCAAGGCACGTGCTGCTGGCTGCTCCCTCCCTCCTGTGCAGCCACTCGGGCTGGAGGGGAAGGCAGCCAGGCACTGCCAGACCCCATTCCCAGGGATGCTGACAGTTGTGACAACCACTGCATTTTTATTTTTATCATCCCGCCAACGCCGCTCTTTAGATCAGCTTTTATTAAAAATAAATAATGCTTTTAAAGCCGGCGCTGGGGCACCAAACTGTGACAAAGGCCAGGGAGGCGGTGCTGAGATGATTAATGTGGTTTTTCCAGTGAAATTCTGTAGCAGTTCTCCCGTGCTGAAGGTTCTGCTGACAGCTGTGGGCAGGAAAAAGGTGCTGGGTGCCATTCTCAGCCTGGCACCTGGAGCAGGGGCACAGGTCTGGCTGTGGCCTCACCCCTCCTTGGCCAGGCTTTGGTGGGCACAGGTCGGGCAAAAGCCAAAGGGATGTTGAGGCGCAGAGCCCTGCCTCAACAAAGGGATGTATCCATCCCTTCTTCTCCCATTATCCCCAACAACTGCCCCCAGCAGGCCCAGCCACCCGAGCCCAGCTGAGGGGTGAGCACAGCTCACACTCGGGGCAGGGAAAATGGGTTTTGAATGTTCCCTGCCACACAGCCTGCAGCCCGGGGCTCCAGGGATGTCACACACCCATCGTGTCACCACCCTGGGCAGACCCATGCCGGGCACATCTCCATCACATGAGGAGGCTCCCCCATATCCCACCCTCCAGGGGAAGGTGAGGAAACCTCCAGCACCTCGGGAAAACCCCCAAAGGCTGTGCAAGGCTGGCCTTGCTCCCCCTGGGCAGGCTCATCCCACCCAGGCTTCCCAGGAAGGGACACCAGTCCTTCCCAGTCCGAGCACTGGTGGGATGGCACAGCTGCCTCTGCCCATGGCCACGGGGACAGGGCAGCAGCTCCTGCCCTGCTGGGACAGCCCCAGCTGCAGAACCCCTGCCACGATCGGGGCTTGTGGCTGGGGAGCTCCATCCTTGTCCAAGAGGTGCCCATCACCTGAGGCTTTCCCCAATCCCAGCTCACGGCAACCAGCGGGAAAAGCAGCGAGCAAAACCTTAGGCAAACATTTCGGGAATCCAAAAATCTCACTCTGTGAGCACAGTTTGGCTCAACAGCTTGCTGGGGAATGGCAAGCACTCGATGTCCAGAGGCAGAGCCGGCCCGCGGAGCTCCCGTTATCTGCTCTATTGTAATGCAGGCGAACCCAATGGGAAGAAATGATGATTATTCAGAAGGCTGAATTATTTCTTTATTGTAACTATGCTAAAATACATTAATATACTATGTAAAAGGAGGATACTAAAACTACATACTACTTTCTCTGACTCTATCTCTAACTCTAACACAACTTGTGACCCTCTCTGAGAGCCCAGCCCCAGATTGGCCACCAGGCTCAAACAATCCTCACCAGAATCCCACCAAGAAATCACCCCAGGGAAGCAATTCTCCAAATGCATTCCACATAGGAAAAACAAGGAGCAGAAATAGGAATTGTTTTCTCTTTCATTTCTCTCCGTGCACCTCTATGAAAAATCCTGAGAGGGAGAGAAGTGTACTTGCCACGCTGCTCCATCAAGGAAAGGTGCTGCCACTCACTGCTGCACTCCCGTTATCCCGCTCCCTCCCCTGCCTTTCCAGGCCGGAGCATTTCTCGAACTGTGCTTTATCCCCATCCCTGCCGCTCCTTTTCCAGCGCCACCAGCGCCGACAGTGCCCACCGTAAATCCCGGCTGCCCGGTGCCAGCGCTGCGCGCCCCGGGCGCTCCCGGCGCGGCAGCGTGCGCCCTCCGCGGCGCGGAACGCGTGGGCACGGAGCGGCCCCGCGCTCCCTCCTCCCCGGCTCTGCAACCCGGGCTCTGCAACCCGGGCTGTGTAACCCGGGCTCTGCAATCCGGGCTGTGCAACCCGGGCTCTGCAATCCGGACTCTGCAATCCGGGCTCTGCAACCCGGGCTCTGCAACCCGGGCTGTGCAACCCGGCTCTGCAACCCGGGCTGTGCAACCCGGGCTCTGCAACCCGGGCTCTGCAACCCGGGCTCTGCAACCCGGGCTGTGCAACCCGGGCTCCGCAATCCGGGCTCTGGAATCCCGGCTCTGCAATCCCGGCTCTGCAATCCGGGCTCTGCAATCCCGGCTCTGCAATCCCGGCTCTGCAACCCGGGCTGTACAACCCGGGCTCTGCAATCCCGGCTCTGCAATCCGGGCTGTCTCGATGCCGTCTCCAGCCCAGCCCCGCCGGCTCGCCGCTCCCGGCGAACCCGCGCCCGTCCCTGCGGGGGAGCGCGGCGAGGCGGCTGTGCTCTTACCTCTCGGCGGAGCCGGGAGCGCGGCGAGAGCTGGAAATAGCCCCGGCTGACACAGATAGCTGTGCGGGAGCAGCAGGGGCCCGCACTTGCCGCGGTGGTTGCCGGCTGCACGGCGATGAGTCAGCCCGAGCCCCGCTCGGGCACACGAGGCTGCCCGGCCTCCCGCCCCTGCCCGCCGAGCCCAGCCCGGGCCCCGTTGCCGGGGAAATTGGTGCTCCCCCCCCTCGTCCTCTAAGCACAGGAGTAGGGAGAGGATGGGAATGAGAGCATCTTGCAGCTTTTTAAGCTCTCGAGATGCTTTCAAGTGCCGGGGAGGCTGTGCGAGCTGTGATTTGCTGCATTATTTCTGTTGCTATCCCTGCACGGGGAGCTCCTGTGTGCAGAAGAGCTGCTCGCAGCGAGTCAGCATCCAAACGCTGCCTGTTCTGGGGGAGGCTGAGCCCCACAGCTGCCATCACCCACAAGGGACTGGGGGCCACCCTGGCACCTTTCAGCACTTCCCAGCGTCTCTGGGATGGGTCCCCTCTAGCTCAGCCGTGGGTAACCAAAGCAGCCGGACACCGAAGCGGTGTCAGTTCGCCCCGAGCTCCTCCAGCAGAGCTCTCCATCCTCCTCCTCATCCTTCTCCTGGGGCTCAGGGGCTGCCTGGCTGCCGGCGATTGCACTGTCAGGACATTAATAAATAATTAGCCGGCAAACTTCCACCAGGGAGCTTGGTTTGCTCTCCTCCAGCGGTGCCGCCTGCTCAGAGCGAGAGCCAGGGGAGAGCAGCTATTCCCAGGAAGAGGGGCTGGAGGGGGTGGCATCTCCCCAGCCGGGCTGGCGGCTCCCCAAGCTCCTCCACAGCTGACTTCACATTCCAAAGGGATTCGGGGGGAGGAGGAGGAATAGGTAAAATCAATGAGAACCTATTTGGCGGGACAAAAGAACGTGGTTTTATTTATAGCACTGGCTGGAGCTGAAGAATCTCCTGCTCAGGGAGACGGTGCTGAGGCGCTGAGGAGCAGCACAGCAGTGTCTGCACAGGGCTGGGAGATGCACCAGTGCCCACCCCGCACCAGCCAGCCCCACCGAGCCCCCCAGCTCCCCAAAGTGCTGAGGGCGGCTTTGCCCGCCAGCCTGGCAAGGGGGGAACATCTGCAGAGGGGTTTCTGCTCTGACAGCAGTGTCTGTGCTCAGGGGGTGCCAGGAGCCGAGCACCAGCCCCTTCCCACCCCTCGTGTCCAGGCAGGGCTGCAGGAGCTGGGGACAGTGGTGGCCAGTCACTGCTCAGTGACTGATGGGGGATGCTCAGAGGAGAGCTGGTGACAAAGGAGGAGGGGGTGCTGCGAGATGGAGGCCCAGGCACAGACAGAGCCAGCCTGGCAGGCTGGGAGTCACGAGCCAGGAGATGCCCATGGACATCCCTGCCAGCAACAGCTGCTTGGGGAACAGCAAGTCCTTGCTCAGCAGTGCTGCAGATCCAAATTGTCTCCCTCTGCTGCTCACTGCCTCGGCCAGCTCTGCTGGTGCAGGAGGATCAGGACCTGCTCTGGTGACCATGGCACGTCTCTGGGATGAGGCAGTTAAAACAGAGAGAGGAAGAGAGGCACGCAGGCTCTGAGCAGCTCCAGGGAGAGGCAGGGGGAATTACCCTGCTCGGAGCCATCAACAGAGAAGGATGAGGCTGGTCTGGGTCTCAGCCAGCCCCCCTCAACACCCCTCACTCCTCCTGGGAGCAGCTGGCAGCAGGATAGAGGGGATACAGGAGATAGCCCAGCTCCTGGTGCTGTCCTGCCAGGCAGGGATGGGCAGTGAAGGGAGCCCAGGCAGCACCACCAGCGCCAGAGGCAGCTCGGTGGGCAGGGATGAGGCGGGGGAGCAGTGAGAGGCCAGTGGGGTGATGTGGATGGGCTGTGACAGACACTGGCAGAGCAGTGTGGGAGCTGCCAGAGCTGTGGGAAAGCCGAGCTCAGCCGGAGTGAAAGGGACACGAAGCGGATGGTGCCATCCCGCCGGTCCCAGGGCTGCCTGGTGCCCTGTGCCCGGCTGCTCTGGGGCAGCACGGGGGGCACCGACCCTGGACCAGCGAGGGGCAGGCTCGGGCTGCAGGCTGGGATGTCAGGCAGCGCAGAAGGAGCAGTGCAAGGTCTCTGACAGCATGTTCCTTCTCTCTGCTGAAGTGAGGTACAGGATGAGCCGAGTGCCCTGGGCTGCTGCCAGCCTCTCATCCCCGGGCAGAAGGGGCCGGCTGGCCCTGCTGTGCCAGAGCAGCCTGGAGAGGAGGACAGGCTGCTTCAGCTGCTGTGGGTGTGCTGCTTCCGCGGACAAATGAGTCACTGGAAGTGCCATAAGGAGTCAATGGGCAGCCTGGTCCCCTGCTCGGCCCACACAGCTGGTGGGCAGCATGAGCCATCGTGCAGGAGCCTTCCCTACCCTCTGCTGCCTGGGCTCTGCCTCTTGCTCCAGGAAATTCCCATCTGTTTCAACAATGCGTCCACAAAGGCCCCTTCTTGCTCCTTTGCTATCACATTTATGTGCTCACAGCTTTCCCCTGCAATCACTGCGTGGATTTACCTCCACAGCACGCTCCAGGCTGCAGGGTGGGGCAGGCTGCAGCCCTGCACAGCATCCCCCTGCACGGGCGCATCCCTCCAGCCCTCAGTGCTGGCCACGGGCTCCTCTGACGGAGCTGCAGCAGCCCCTGCTCCGGGGAAAGAGCTGCAGAGAGCCTGGCAGGTGGCACAGGGGGAGGGACCCTCTGCAGGGTGTGCTGCAGAGAGGGGCCTGGGGGGCTGTGCCACAGCATGGCAGAGTGTCCTTGGTGTCCAGGCGTGCCTGCCTGAGGGCTTTGTGGCACAGTGGGACATCGCTCCACAATGATGCTGAGGAGCCTGGAGCAGGAATGGCAACCTCTGAGGCTCAGCCCTGCCCCCTGGACAAGCTGGACCTCAGAGCCAGAGCCCACCCAGCACCCACTTGCCCTCAAAATCCACTTGTTTCCTAGGTCTCCTCCAGCCCCAGGGGCCAGTCCCTCAGCCCTGTGGCAGAGAGGACATCAGACTTTCACTCCTTGCTGGCCGTGAAGCATAACAGAGCCCTCCTGTCAGCAGCTGAGGAGGAGGAGGCAGGAGCTCCCAGGTGCACGCAGCTAATGAGGCACAGAAAGCGTGCAGGGAAAGCAACACTCTGTCCCTGTGCTCGTGATCTCAGGTGAAGGATAAGGCTGAGCCGAGTGCTGAGCAGGGCTGCAGGGAAGGGAAAGCAGAGCTCGTGGAAAGGAGCCAGGCAGAGAAACTCAGCAAAACCCTGGGCATGGCACTGCCAACCGCTGTGCCCCCAGACAGTGGGGCCCCGCCAGCAGCGTGCGTGGATGGAGAGCGCTCCAGAGCAGGCTCTGGGGAGCCTGGGGACACCTTCCCCTTCAGCTGCCCCCAGCTCACCCAGGCACGGGCTCACAGAGCTCCTGCCAGCCCACAAAGCCTTTCCCTGTCCTGATTGAGAGCAGCCACCACGCCAGCCCCCCATGTCCCGCGAGTGCCAAGCCCGGAGTGTCACCGGGCGGGGGGCTGCGGATGTTGCAACTCCGAGGAGCCCCACTTGCTGCTGCCTCTCACTGCCCGCTCCTTACAACATTTTGCCATCCACAAACAGAGGCAGCTGCAACGTGAGAGCGAGGGCGGGCGGTCGCCAGGCCGGGGTGGCTCCTGCCAGCCCGCGCTCATTGGCTCCGGCCCCTGTCCCACGCCTGGCCTTTGGCAGGCTCAGGGTACCTTCCAACCCTGTCCCCTCCTGACCGCTGGCCCCATGACATTACTCACTCGCTGTTGTTTTGAAAGGACATTTGCAAGATTTCCTGTTATGTTTTCCCTCGGTAATGTTATCTCCAGCCCCTCCGGGCTGAGCATCGCGGTGCTGCTGCAGCAGCGGCGCGGTGCCACGGGGCACTCCGGAGCAGCCAGGGCTGCCAGGCCAGGGTGGGCACGGGGGGTTTAACTCTGCTGGAGAGAGGCTGACACCTCTTGGAGTCCATAAATGCAGAGAGCAGCAGGAGCTGAGCTCTGGCAGCTGCCCTGCTCTCGGAGCTCGGGGTCTGGTGGAGGAGGAAAGCTGTGAGCACACGGCAGAGCTGGCACAGGGTGGGGTGTGTGACACGGGCAGTGATGTCCCATTCACAGCACGGCATCCCAGACACCATTCCTGCCCACCGCAGGTGTTTCTGAGCCTGCCACATGACTGACTTCTTAGAAGGTGGAGACAACACCACTTATAACATCTTGTCCTCCTTCGCCTCTCTCCTGGTGCTTCCGAAACCCTTTTTATGAGTGTTATTCAACCAATTCCTCCAGAAACTGCAGGGCGCAGGGAAGTTGTGTGATCTCCATTTCACAGGTGAAAAGAACCAAAAGGAACATAAAAATGCTTGGACTGTGCAAAAGTGCACAGCAGTCAGGAGCTGAAGTTGGGCAGGTTAACATCAACTTGCAGCCACGTGAGCTTCATCCTGCAGGATCCCACAGAAACCCAGAGGCAGCAGAAAGTCCGCTTGGCCAAGATGCCCCCATTGTGCTCTGCTGTCCTCTGTCCCCCTCCTGACCCCATTGCCACATCCAGTTCTGCCTGCAGGGCTGGAAGGAGCCCTCACCTGTCTGCTCAGAGGAGAAATGGGGCAGTGCAGGCTGGGCTTTGCTTTCCTCATGATCCTCCACACCTGGGGGTGTCCTGCAAGCTGTGACCACTGGAGGCTGGGAAGGGCTCACCTCCTCGGGTTAGAAAGCAAGGCAGGAGGAACTGTGCTTGCACATGGACCAGAAGGGAAAAGGTGTTTCTGAAAAACCTATGCACAACTTGATTTTCAGATGACAATTGACGAGTAATTCCCACGAATGTTACTTCCTACTTGAGTGCAGATGGTGCAAAGGAAATCATGAGATACTCAGGGGTGAACTTCGCCTTTTGTGCAACAAATTCCTCCCAGAGGACTAGTGTGGAGAGGCCTTCCAGCCCTGACGGGGCAAACTGCCCTTCTGTTCTCAGTTCATCTTCATCACACCGTAGCCTTCATCACTCGTACCTTCTGTGAGGAAAGGAATGCATGTCAGATCACTGCTCAGCAGGGTCAGCTGGAATTTGAGTCTCAGTCTTCA